GATGGATCAGAAGTGCACAACAGTTGTTTTATCTTTGTTGCAATTTGATTGGCTTATTTTATTTTATTACATCTTTGTTGCAATTTGATTGACTTATTTTCTTTGCATTACATTATATTTTTCTTGCATGATCTTGGTGATAACTAAAATTGTTATAATTATCTTGAGTTTTCTCTGACTTAAGACCAATAGGCAATGTCATTTTTTCCACTATAAGGTATCCATGCATTATTATTTTATGCATGGATACCTTATAGTGGAAAAAATATCTTTTTGATATCATTAACAATATAATGATATCAAAAAGATATTCAAAAGATTAAAATTTAACATTAAAATTTTTTATTTAGTGGTTTACATTATTCAGTTTAGAACACTTTTTAAAACATTTAACATTTTAGATGTCAAAGATTATGAAATGTACACAAATAGAAAATAAAATTTATTTGTTAAAAATTTAAAACAAATAAAAATTAAGATGTCCTAAGAGAAAATTAAAAAACGTTTTAACAAAAAAAAAAGATTGTAAATACAAGAGATAACAACTATTATTCAATCATAGCCAATTATTTAAGGCTTAAATATCAACTTTAAACATCCTTCTCCAAAAATTGAAAAAATGTTGTTAAGCCTGTCTTTATCTGGAACCATTTCTGTATAAATTAACATTAAGGCTAGCCCATTTAATCACTTTTTAACACTCTACTTCTTGAATACAGGGGTGGATCCAGGTTGTCTCATAAGGGGTGGAAATTTAATTTATGCATGCCGAGCAGGTAACGAGTCTCTGCTGCGGGTTTGGGGGCTAGGGGTCAGCAGGGCCCCCATAAATTAGGGGGTCTGCCATCCCCTCACACCAATTTTATTTTAGTTTGTACTAAGAAAGAAGAAAATCTAGGTATCTTTTATATCATGTATCTATGTAATGCTATAAAATTATTTTTTTGTTGAGCTTGTTTTTTTTTTTGTTTTTTTTAATTTCATTATTATTCACCTCCCCAAGTTTTCAAGTTAAAATAAAAGTTTTTTCATTAATCTGATTATTTTTTTAAATTGTTCTGAATTTAATGTTTGCTTTATAATATATAATAAATATTTGTATAATAAATTTATTTACAAATAAGTCTTTATTGCTGTAAGAAAACATTTTTTCACTTATTTCTGGGGTCTGGGTTCTTCTAGCATTTTTTATGAAAAACAATTACAAATTAGTGCCTTTATGTTATATTGAGTTTTACATGATATCTATTCTGATGATTTTTTATAAGCATGATTTTTAGAACATTTCAGTACAGAGTTCACAAAGTATTTTAAAATACTAAATTTTATTAGGAGCTTTTGGAAAACAACAGTTAAAATGAATACTTACAAAATGAATACTAAAAAAAATTAAAAACTTACAAAACTAAAAATTAAAAAAATGCATTTAAAGAAGCATTTTTAGTATTCCTAATATTTAATTGAGATTAAAGACAAATATAAAAAGATGAAAAATATACCATTTGGTAGATAAACTGTAAAATAGAAAGGTTTATTTTGTAACTAATAAACTTTAAATTCCATTTGTTTAATCTTAAATTTGTATACTTAATTTTACATTTGCGTTGCTCACTATATTTATATGCTCGTTGTTTTAACACCTGATCATTTAAAACAAAGCTAGTTTTACTTGTATTCTTTATTATCAGTAAAAACAGTTCCCAATGTTATTCACTTTTATCAATAAAATCAGAATGTTCCCTATGTTATTTTGATTTTAATATATATAGACGTTCTTATTACAAGTAAACAAATAGTTCATTAATGAAACAATTTTTTTTTAATTGCAAAATATTTGATGAAGATATAGTCAATGTTTTATGAAGTTTGACGTAAAAATCAAAAAGTTTGAAGTAAAAAATAAGTTTGACGTAAAATATCATCAAAAGTTAGATGATATTTGTTTTATAGTTCTTTTTTAATAATTTTTTTTTTTTTAATTATCATTTTGTGAGTTTTTATCGTTTTTTCATTTTTTAAATTTTTACTATGTTAATCAATAGATAGCTCATAGGCATAATGATTAAATGAAATGATGTGTGGTTGGAAAAGCTAAATAAAAATCCTGTTAAAATCAAATTAAGAAAACTCTCATTATGTCTTAAGTTATGTTTAAATAATTTCAATTACAGTTCAGCTGGCTTCCAAATTATTAAAATACTGTTCAGTTGGCTTCCAAACTATTAACATACAGTTCAGTTGGCTTCCAAATTATTAAAATACAGTTCAGTTGGCTTCCAAACTATTAAAATACAGTTCCACTAGCATCCAAACTATTAAAATACAGTTCAGTTGGCTTCCAACCTGTTTGTCTTTAAAATCTAAGCATAAAACATTTTCTATTATATTTTCAAAAACAGATAGGATTCAAATATAGGATTCAAACCAAAAACATTCACATAAAACATTAAATAAATTAGAGTATTTTATAAATGATAAATATTACAGCTGCAAAAATAATATGGCTATTTTAAGTGGCTAAGAATAATCTTGTTTTTTAAGACATTGTGATAATACATCATTATTTCAAAGAATGTTTCCAATGTTTGTAAAATATTAGATTACAGGCAATGTAGTAAATCAGGGTTTTTATATGAGTTGCTTAAAGGCTTTAATACTTTTCTAGATGACCTAAGACCAATATTGGAGAAAAGCCTATGTGTTAGTATAACACATAGTGTGTTAGTATAACACATAGTGTGTTAGTATAACACATAGTGTGTTAGTATAACACATAGTGTGTTAGTATAACACATAGTGTGTTAGTATAACACATAGTGTGTTAGTATAACACATAGTGTGTTAGTATAACACATAGTGTGTTAGTATAACACATAGTGTGTTAGTATAACACATAGTGTGTTAGTATAACACATAGTGTGTTAGTATAACACATAGGCTTTTATATCGATTTTGATCAGAAGAAGAGTACCAAGTTGTGTTTTATGAAATAAAATGAGAGATTTTAAAATTAATGGAAAACTTGACAAAGGTCCTTTAAAATTAATGGAAAACTTAGCATAGGTCTTTTGAAAATAATGAAAAACTTGGTGAAGGTCCTTTAAAATTAGTTTTTCTGATTTAAGTATCTGATTTAACAATATCATAAGTTAAATTAAAACGGACTTTTAAGAGAAAGCTAAAAATCTAGTACTTTACATGGTTTTTAACTAAATATGGATAACCAAGTCTTTTACTTCTTCATACTTAGTTAAACATTTTTCAAATTCCAAATTGTGTATTGGATTAGCTATTAATTATTTTATTATTTGAAAAAAAAAGTTTTTCTGATTGATGTGGAGTTTCAATAATAAATATTTTTAAGTAGGCTGCATATAATAAATGGAAATTGCACTAAACAGTTAATATCTCAAAAGACTGTTACATAGGTTCTCATACGAAAAACTTAAAGAGTGAACTGTTACAGGGTTAAAAATTTTCAAAGTAAAAGTAAATATGGAAAAACTAAATATGGATATCTGAGTAAAGTTTTAGTAAGAGATGAACTATTTAGAATGGAAATGCATAAAGAAGTTTATCAGATAACAAAAATATGTTGGCTTCAGAGCAAATAAAACTAAATGAAACAATGATTTTTTAAATATCAAAGGAATATGCAAGAAGTTGCCATAGAGTATATAATGTTGATGCTTTCTCTAAAGACGTTGTTCAAGCTATTCAATATGCCAATTTATTGCACTATAAAACTTGCCTGTACCCATTATTGGGTATGGGCTCATACAGGGTATGGGCAATACAGGTGATCAGTGCGAAAAAAAAATTTTTATAAATTTCATAGAAATGAGCAAATATTGAGTAAATGAGTAAATGTTGAGTAAATGAGTAAATGTTGAGTAAATGAGTAAATGTTGAGTAAATGAATAAATGTTGAGTAAATGTTGAGTAAATGAATAAATGTTGAGTAAATGAGCAAATATTGATTTAAAAGAAAAAAATGGAAATCGATAGATTAATTAGTAATTTCAAAAAATCAGATTAGTTTGAACCTACTACTTGAACTTGCTTTTGAATTATTTTGAATTTTATTTTAATTTTAAAAACTATATGGCGATTAATTTATTTTATATTATTTTAGACTTATGAAGAACTTTTTGTTGAATTTTTAACAACAAAAATTTGTAAAAAATTTAAGTGCACAAATGTTTTTAACAATTTTTTGAATTTTTTCTTTTTTGTAATAAAAATATGCATCCAAAAAAAATTAGTTAACTTATAAAAATAATATAAATATTTTTGAAAGCCTCTAATTTTCTTGTTATTTTGTCTTCTTTTGTTTCCAATTTTTTTCTGTTTTATTACCACGTTTTATTAGCTCACTTTCTTGTTTGTTTGTTTGTCCGGGTGAAATTTTGCAACTCAATTTTAACTTTTCGATTAGTTAGAGCTCTGAAACTTTTACTATAGCTCAGAACCCGATGACAATGCAATATTTACTTTTACCATGATTTGCCGAGTTTCTTGAACAATTTCAGCAAAATAAAATTTATTATGGCGAAACTTTTGGAGGCGTCGCCGCAATTTGACGTGTCGCTTTAAATAAAAAATTTTCGAACAAAAAAAAACAAATTTAACTGTCGCTGTGATTTTAAATGGACCGCAGCATAAAAACAAAATCAGTTGTTTACAAAATATAAAATTCCACCCATCAAATACTAAAAAGAAGAAAATAATATAACAAATAAAATTTTTTTTTATAAAACCACGTTTTTGTAATGAACTAAAAAGTAGAAAATAATTTTCTCTTGTGGCTATAGAAATTTTAGAAAATTAATTGAGTCAATAGTAAGTGACATGAAAACTTTTGATTATAAAAAGTTTTTTTATTTGTTATATTATTATTAACATTATTTTTGTTCGTTTTTATTTTTCGTCTTTTGTTTTCTATATTATTTTTATTATGAAATTTTTTTATTATTTTGTACTTATTATTTTGTCTTTAGCTCCGTTTGAATCATACAAAAAAGAATCTCAATTTAATGCTTTTTGGGTTCGTGAGCCCTCTGAAAATAGTTCAAATCAATATGGGTTACCACTCTCTGTGTGTTTTACAACACATCAAGATAAAACACTTACCCAAAATATCATTAATGAAATGGTAAGATTGAATATAATTATTTTGCATTATTTTTTTTATTTTTTTTTTGCACCTTTTCTTCAGAAAGTTTGTAACTGCATGCTTGAATAAAGCTAAATTATTGTTTAACAAGAGGTGTTACACATTTATTTACCCAACTTTATTTTCAAGAAGTTTTACTTTATTTGTAAGAAGTTATAGCATTTCATTCACAACAAAATCTTATTTAAAATTTAGTGTAGCGAAAAGAAGAAAAAACATTTTAAAAGAATGTTTTTCACATATAGTTGTTGTGTGAATGAAAATTTATTTGAGTTATTTTTGTTGTTTTTTTATAAATTGTTTACAAAATATATAAAAACAAACTTACGATAATTATTATTAAAAATTACAAATTGTAAATAATAAAGTTAAAATTGAAAATATGTAAAATTGTTAACAAACATGAAAAATTATGCAATGGATCTAATTAGGGAAAAACCTATGTTATTACAAGCACATTTGTTACAAGCACATGCTTAGATGTGACTTAGGACTAATGCACAAATACATCTAAGCACAAGCTTAGTTGATCTTAGAGCATCAGCCCTCCCTGCTCCAATAAAACTTGTCATTAGCAAAGGTCTCTGTATAAAAACTCTTCTATCTTTATATGAAAACTCTTATATCTCTACAAATACATTAGCAAAGCCTATATAAAAACAAAACTTCGGGTTTTGATTAAAAATTAAAACTTTGTTGTTAAAAATAATGTAAAGGTTTTATTTGTAATTTGATTCTTACTTTAGAGTCTATATATTTCCACTATTCTGGAGTTTATTTATTTTCATACATAGGTGTCTCAAAAAAATTGTAGAGATAAATTAAAATTTGTGGCTTCTTCGATACACAAGGCTGTTAAGGAATTAGTTTCAAGTATTTAAGTTTAGTGTTAATTTAGATTCCAGGATTCAGGATTTATCGCTTTTTTCCAGACTTAAGAGGTTCCTAAAATTTACTGGAAATTATCCCTACGTGATAAAAGATTTTTCTAGGTGATAAAAGTCAGAATTTTTTTAGGTGATAAAAGACTTTTTTGACCCCAAATTAATAAAAAGTGTTAACATTTAAGTTCTTTAAAATTTTATTTTAAATTTATTTTATAGTAAAAAGTTAAATGTTAAAGTTTCTTCATTATCTTTTTACTCAAAACTCTTTTTAAACATTTTAAACTAAGCAAAAAAAAAAAAATTAAATTTATTTCTAAATTATAATTTAGGTTGCTTTAGTTAACTATTATCAGAATTCGGACGAGTCAGTAAAGCTGACTGAAATTTGGTCGGCTGACGTAACATACTTAGAAAAGCTAAAGGTAAAATTTTTTTCTGTCAGGGGTATAGAGGTTTTTTTTTTTATAATTCTTTTATAACACTTTTATAATTCTAAACCTTTGGTCTTTTTTTTATATTCTTATATAATATAATATAATATATATATATATATATATATATATATATATATATATATATGCATGTATATTGATCTTTTTTATATATATATATCTGATCTTTTGATATAGTTGGATTTTTTTATAATATAATAACTTTAAAGTAATGATATTTTTCTAAAATATAATATTTCCGAATTCTGATAACAATTCTTATTACTTTTTTTAGCACTCTATTATACGTAAATTTCCTCAAGATCAAACAGATGGGCGATTTTTAGATTTTGTTCATAAAATGACCGTTGCAGCGTTTAGTTAGTATTATTAATATTGCAATCTGCTGACTTTATTTATAACATCTTCATATCGACGCAGCCATTTATGTTATGTTACGTATGTAAAAATATATGATTGTATGTATTTGTTGTATACTATACTCAAGAAATTAATGTTAATACTCAGCTGTTTGTTTTCGTTTTTGTAGTTGTGCTCACCATAAAGTGATTTGTTTTTATAAAATAATTATGATTTAACTGCGCCAAATACAAATTTTAAAAAAAAAACTCTCGGTAATTTGTATATCGATAATATATATGTTCTTAACAAAATACTCTATCAAGAACTGCTATATTCCGAAAACCTCTTTAAGACAATCTAAATTCTTAATATCCAGCAGAGGACCCCAATTGTGGAACTCATTTCTAACAAACAAGATAAAAACGATAAACTCATTCCAACATTTTAAATACGTTGTAAAGCAACAGCTACTAGACCTCAACATTAATGAAACAATCTCTTATTTTTAAAATTTTTTCTAAATTTTAAAATTTTTCCTTTTTCAATTTAAATCTTCACTTTTTCTTGAAATTCTATTATATTATTTGCTTGATTATTTAATTATATTCATTGTAAAAAAAGTCATATGTATTATAAATATTTTATTATATTTGTATTTGGTTTATATTTTGTTACATTTTGCCAACGACAAAAATGGGGCAAGATGAAAAGACTATTGTCTTCTACTTACTTCAGTGATATATTTCACGGTAAAATGTTGTACAAATTTATATTAATAATAACGAATATATATTTAAAAAAAAAAAAAGTGGTAGCGAATAAACTTTCCATTTATTTTCTGCAAACCACTCAGAAACTGATTTTGAGGTGTGGCACGTCGCCCCATCCTGTTGAAAGGTAAAACTCTTTGGGAACAGATTTTTTAGAGTTGGCTTAGCTTTAGAAATTGTTTTTTTGTATTTTTCACTATTCATTATGCCCTTGATTGTAAGCAATGATGTTTTACCTTTGGAATTATTCGCATGAGACTCTGTTTGAACTTTGATTTGCCGATTTTTGGTCGTTTTTTTGCCCATCAACCTTCTCGAGTTCAAAATAACTCAAAACGACTCTCGTCACTAAATACCCACTGGTTTATCTTGTTTTTAGGTGTTCTTCACACCTTTTTACCCTATTTTCTTGTTGAGCAGAAGTCAATAGGGGTTGATTTTTGGGAAAGAAACTGAACTCCTCACTTCGGTTAAGATAACGAGTAATTGTTTTGGGAGCAGCCTGGGACTACTTTTTTTGATTAATTCAATTTTAATATCTCGGGCGGATCGTGTGACATCTTTTCGAGCTAACTTAATTAACCGTTATTGGTCCTTTAAATTAAGTTTTCTTGGTCTACCACTTCCTTTCTTTCTCTCCAAGCTCATTTCTTCCCTCATTTTCTTAAAATATCTTGCAACTGTTGCCTTAAGTATCACAGTTAACTTAATCAAACATTTTAGGTCTTTATGACCCGCTTTAAAAAGATTGTCAAGTGTCAACGTTATGACTTCGTTTCTCAAGTAAATATTTTTAGGTAAATCAGAAACAATAATGAGCACAGATTTTTTGATGAATATATATGCACCTGATAAATCAAACAATAGGTTTCATGAAATAAAAAAAAAGTTATTGTATGAGTCGTTAAAAATTGTAAAACTACGAACAAAGATTTTGCATACGCGGTTTCATTTTTTTGTCCGGAAGCAAGGCCGGCGCGATAGGGGTGTGGGATGTGTGAACTTGCCACTTTTGAAAGAATTATTTATCATAATGCTAAAAGGTTTGGAGATGATGTGAGAGGTAAGTTTAATAAAAAATGTAGGTATACTGTGAGGTCCATAACTTTTATAATTTTTAAGAGTTATTAATAAGATTAGATACCTCATCTTCACTCAAAGAATCATTAAAGAAAGAATTAGCATTAGACAATTTAAGAAAGTCACTATAAGTACGTTTTGATAGCATGATCTCATTGAGTAGTTTTTCCACAAATAGAGACAAACCCAGTGGGCACGGACGTAAAAAAGACGTCTTTTAAACGCCTTAAACACGTTTTGGACGTCTTTTGAACGTTTTGGACGTCTTTTGAACGTTTAAAAAACGTCTTATTTTGGTCCGTTGCCCACTGGGAAGTAGTTATTAATTATATTTGAAACAGTGGCATGGTCTGCGATGGTATTTTTACTCAGATTTAGCTGAGTAGGTGTAACCCTGACCCTAATCCTAACCCTAACCCTGACCCTGACCCTAACCCTAACCCTGAAGGTGTAATGATGCTTTAACATTTATGTAATGATGCTTTAACATTTATGTAATGATGCTTTAACATTTATGTAATGATGCTTTAACATTTATGTAATGATGCTTTAACATTTATGTAATGATGCTTTAACATTTATGTAATGATGCTTTAACATTTATGTAATGATGCTTTAACATTTATGTAATGATGCTTTAACATTTATGTAATGATGCTTTAACATTTATGTAATGATGCTTTAACATTTATGTAATGATGCTTTAACATTTATGTAATGATGCTTTAACATTTATGATATCTTTTATGCCTTTCCGTGTATTTTTTATGTTGTTCATCTTGTTATTAAAATAAGTTACGTAGTATGGTTTTTTACTACTTTTTAATAAGTTGCTAATTTTATTTCTAATTTTGTGAAGAGTTCATTTTTACTATCAATGTTTTTACATCTTGCTAATTTTTTATAGAGTTTGTTTTTTACAGAAATAGATTTAAGTAAGCCTTTAGAGATCCAGGGTTTAGATTTAAGTTTGATTTGATTTTTATTCAAAGTTTTATAGGGGACACATTGGTCTAAAACCCTATTAAACGATTTTAAAAATTGATTGATGGATTCACTAATAATTTCGTCAGACCTAGTTTAGAAATTTTAACTTTATTTGGTTGGCTGGATGTGCCAAGAACACAGACAAATTTTGCCGTGTGATCAGAGATAGAACTAGTTAGGTTACCTGAAACCCAGTGGACACGGACGTAAAAAAGACGTCTTTTAAACATCTTTACACGTTTTGGACGTTTTATGAACGTCTTTGAATGTTTTGGACGTCTTTTGAACGTTCAAAAGACGTCTTTTTTAGGTCCGGTGCCCACTGGGGAGATGATCGAAGAGTACAAGTTTATAAAGATGTTATCAATGAGTGTTTCAGATTTAGTTGTTATACGAGTAGGTAGGATTTATGATGGCACTTTTACTTATTTCGAATTAAAATAATCATTGAGTCAACTGAAGAACTCAACTTTTTTGAATTTTTTTTTTTTTGATTTAATTTGATCTTTCAGACTTTACTTTGATTTTACTTTATCTTGGGCAAGAATGAGGGGAGGGGGTTGAACCCTAATTTTTTTCCTCTAATATTTTGTTTTTCTTTAAAGTTGGGGTTTTATAAATTTTTTTGAAAAAAGATTTTTAGTAAAAAAGCTTTGAAAAAGCAATTTTTTTAAATTTACTTGTTTTAGTATTAATTTTTTTATTGGGAGCAAATAGGTAAATGGCCCTGATAAAAATTTATTGTAAAGGAGCTTGGCATATTTGTAGCTCTAGCAGAAATAAAAATAAATTTTTTTTTAATTCATTTATTAATAGCTATTCATAAAACTATTGTCTCGAATGAACTAATTTCAATTAGTCTATTCCAGACAACAATTATTCCTTTATTATTCTATTATCTCACAATTATTCTAGTTAGTCATTTCCAGAAATAACTTTCATTTTGGTTAGGTTTTTAACGCTGAATAAAAAAAGCTAAAATACAAAACTTAGAATAAAATTGCAAAATGCACAGCCATTTCCAAAAGCAAGAACAATAAACCAGATCACACAGTTTTTAAAAAAAAACTATTAAATAACTGATGTAAATAACATCAAGTATATTAAAAAAAAAAGAAGTAATAAACTTAAAAAAAGTAATTAACTTAAAAAACTAATTAACTTAATAAAAGTAATTAACTTAAAAAATTTATAACTTTTTGTAACCACAACAACCGTTTTATTTTAATTTATTTAATATAGCGAATTTACAAGGATGGTTCAAAAAAGCACAGTTTAAAACTTAAAATTATAAGGTCGATTGTGAAGAAAAGTGTCTTGATGTTATTTTATCATACAGATAAAATAACTTTAAGTTCTTTTTATTTCAGTAAATTTTTTTTACTTTTTTTACTTTAAATTTTCAAAAATTTAAAGTAAAAAAGTTAACAAAAGTGTAAATTACTATATTTAAACAACCAGATTCCAATCACATATTTAAAATCAGGCTCGTAGCAAGCTTTTTGTTTTTGTTTGAGAATTTAACTTATGTAACGACATAGAAAACTTCAAACATTTATGTATTCATGTTTATGTAACGCTTTTCAAAAGTATTTTGATAATCGCAGTCTATTAACAATAAACCCCTATAATGTTAACTTCCCATTCCGACGCTATTTTCATCGCTCTCGCGCTAATAGCATTTCATGCCATTATTGTGAGAGCGATGAGTTTATAACATTTATATAAAGGTACATTTTTTTTAACATATAAACTAAATTTAAGTTCATTAACAAGTCTCTAATGTCATGCAATAATCTCTTAGTGTTCAAAATCTATGACCATATAAATTTTGAGCAACCTCCCCAATCATTTAAGGGATTTAAAATATTATCTTTAATTAAACTATAAGTTCAAATTCTGCTCCTCTAAAGTTCGGAGCGAAAGTTAATTTAATTCTTTTTTCGTGAATAAGTAATCAAATGACGTGGACTTAAAATTTGTTGAAAAATAACAAAGAAGATTAAGTTTTTATAAGTGACTTAAGTCTATAAGGTCATTTATATTTCTCAAACAATATTATAATATTGTTCAAATTATTCTTATATTTATTATTATTAATTTGATAATTATCAAATTATTTTTTTTTTAAATTTAATTTTGTCATAGATTTTTTTTTTCTTTTTTTTTTATTACGTTTACTTAAAATGCTTTTTTTTTTTTTTTTTTCAGGTATCACTTAAATGCTTCAATGAAGTGTTATTTAATTTTTATAATTTTCATTTTTTTTATAATTTTCATTTTTTATAATTTTTATTTTTTATAATTTTTAATTTTTATAGTTTTTA